ACAAGCCGCGGCCGGCCAGCGGGAACCTGCTGCAGTCGCCGGAGCCCACCTACGGGCCGCCCCGCTCCCGGCAGCCCTCGCTGGCCAAGGAGGCCTCGGTGGCCGGGCTCAAGCCGACCATCACCAAGCAGGTTGGGGCGGTGGGGAAGGAGGACGTTGGGCTGGAGGACGTTGGGATGGAGGATGTTGGGCTGGAGGGACATGGGGATGGAGGACGTAGGGCTGGAGGGACATGGGGATGGAGGATGTTGGGATGGAGGACATTGGGATAGAGGATGTTGGGCTGGAGGGACGTAGGGATGGAGGACATGAGGATGGAGGGACATGGGGATGGAGGATGTTGGGATGGAGGACGTGGGGGTGGGGGATATGGGGCTGGAGGGATGTGGGGATGGAGAACGTGGGGATAGAGGGATGTGGGGATGGAGGATGTTGGGATGGAGGATGTTGGGATGGAGGGATATGGGACTGGAGGACATGGGGATGGAGGATGTTGGAATGGAGGGACGTGGGGATGGAGGATGTGGGGATGGAGGATGTGGGGATGGAGGATGTTGGGATGGAGGGACGTGGGGATGGGGGATAGGGGGCTGGAGGGATGTGGGGATGGAGAACGTAGGGATGGAGGGACGTGGGGATGGAGGATGTTGGGATGGAGAATGTTGTGATGGAGGATTGTAGGATGGAGGAACATGGGGATGGAGAATGTTGGGATGGAGGATGTAGGGATGGAGGGACATGGGGATGACCAGGAGTCAGGGGTCCTGAAGGGACGACGGGAGGAAAGATGAGGAAAACAGGGCCGCTGGGGTGGGACAGAGGTGTTGGAGGGGCCACCACGGCGGGGTTGGAGCCACCGGGGCAGGGTTGGGGCCACCAGGATGGGGGACGGAGCCGCCACCGAAGGGACGTGGGGTGGCCCGTCCCCATGAGGCTGCGGCGCCGCAGGCCTCGCAGACGCCGTCCACGCTGAACCCGGTGCTGCCGGCGGCCGAGCGCACGGTGGCCTGGGTGTCCAACATGCCCCACCTGTCGGCCGACATCGAGAGCTCCCACATCGAGCGCGAGGAGTACAAGCTCAAGGAGTACTCCAAGTCCATGGACGAGAGCCGGCTGGACCGGGTAAGGGGCTGCCCGCCCGACGGTGCCCGTCACCGCGGGGACACAGGCGGCCGGGGTCCTCGTAACCCACGTGTCCATGGTCCAAGGGACCCAACCTACCATGGTCCAAGAGATCCAGGTGTTCGTGGTCAAGGAAACCCAAGTGGCCATGGTCCGAGAGACCCAAATATCTGTGGTCCAAGGGACCCAGGTGACCRTGATCCAATAGACCCAAGTGACCCTGGTCTAAGGGCCTCAAGTCTCTATGATCAAGGAAACCCAAGTGTCCATGATCCAGGAGACCCAAGTGACTGAGAAGAAAAAGGGACCCACGTGTCCTTGGTCCAAGGGGATACAAGTGTCCATGTCCAAAGCGATCCAAGTGTCCATGGTTCAGGACACCCAAGTTTCGCTACTCCGAGACACCCAGATGTACATGGCCTGGGAAAACCAAGTGTCCATGGCGCAAGTATCCATGGTCCAAATAACCCAAGTTTCCATACCCAAGTGTCCATGGTCCAAAGGGACCCAAGCGTCCATGGTCCAAGATGACCCAAGTGTCCATGGTCCAAAGGACCCAGGTTTCCATACTCAAGTGTCCCTGGTCCAAAGAATCCAAGTATCCGTGGTCCAAAGGACTGAAGTGTCGGTGGCCCAGGCAACCCAAATGTCCATGGTCCAAGGGGACCCAAGTATCCATGGCCCAGGAAACCTCAGTGTCTATGGCCCAAGTGTCCTTGGTCCAACAGACCCAAGTGTCCATGTTCCCAAGAACCGAAGTGTCCCTGGCCCAAACGATCCAAGTGTCTGTGGTCCAAGTGATCCAAATGTCCGTAGTCCAAGGGGACCCAAGCGTCCATGGTCCAACAGACCCATGTGTCCATAGTCTGAAGAACCTAAGTGTCCATGGCCCAAGCAACCCAAACGTCTGTCATCYAAGAGGACCCAAGCGTCCATGATCCAAAGAACCCAAATGTCCCTGGCCCAAGCAACCCAAGCGTCCATAGTCTAAGGTGACCCAAGTGTCCCTGACCCAAGCGACCTGAGTGTCCCTGACCCAAGGTGACCCAAGTGTCCGTGGTCCAAGGTGACCCAAGCATCCATGGTCCAACAGACCCAAGTGTCTGTAGTCCAAGGTGACCCAAGTGTCCCTGACCCAAGCRRCCTGAGTGTCCATGGTCCAAAGGACCCAGGTTTCCATACTCAAGTGCCTGTGGTCCAAGGGGATACAAGTGTCCCTGACCCAAGTGACCCAAGTGTCCGTGGTCCAAGGGGACCCAAGCGTCCATGGTCCAAAAGACCCAAGTGTCTGTAGTCCAAGGTGACCCAAGCGTTCCTGACCCAAGCAACCCGAGTGTCCCTGACCCAAGCGACCCGAGTGTCCCTGACCCAAGTGACCCAAGTGTCCGTGGTCCAAAAGACCCAAGTGTCTGTGACCCAAGCGACCCGAGTGCCTGTGTCCCACGCGACCCAGATGTCCCTGTCGCGTGGGGCGCTCACGGTGCCGGCGGCGGCGCGGGGGACGCGCCGGCGGCGCCCGGGTGTCCTGCAGTGTGCGCTGTGGCAGGTGAAGGAGTACGAGGAGGAGATCCACTCGCTCAAGGAGCGCCTGCACATGTCCAACCGCAAGCTGGAGGAGTACGAGCGGCGCCTGGTGTCCCAGGAGGAGCAGACGAGCCGCATCCTGCTCCAGTACCAGCACCGCCTGGAGCAGAGCGAGAAGCGCCTGCGGCAGCAGCAGGCCGAGAAGGACTCGCAGATCAAGAGCATCATCGGCAGGTGAGGGAGGGACCGCGCGGCGGCCGCGGGGACGGCGGGGCCACGGCGGGGACCGGGGGCGGGTGCTGGCGACGTGACGGGAGGGATGTGGAGGCGGTGGGGGGCCTGGGGGAGCGGGGAGGACTGGGGGGACGTGGGGAACGTCGAGGACCATGGAGGGCTTAGAGGACCTGGAGAATGTGAGAGACATGGGGGACATGGAGGACTTGGAGAACATGCGGGACTTGGAGAACATGGAGGATCTGGACAACATGAGAGACTGGGGGGACATGGAGGGCTTGGAGGACATGGAGGACTTGGACAACATGAGAGACATGGGGGACATAGAGGACCTGGAGAACATGCAGGACTTGGAGAACATGGAGGACTTGGAAGCCTTGAGGGACATGAGGAACATGGAGGGACATGGAGGGCTTGRAGGACATGGGGGACATGGAGGACTGTGGAAGGCTTAGAGGACCTGGACAACATGAGAGACATGGGGGACATGAAGGGCTTGGAAGACATGGAGGACTTGGAGAACATGGAGGACTTGGAGACCCTGAGGGACATGAGGAACGTGGTGGGACATGGAGGATTTGGAGGACATGGTGGATGTGGAGGACTGTGGAGGACTTAGTGGACCTGGAGAACATGAGAGACTTGGGAAACATGGAGGGCTTGGAGAACATGGAGGACTTGGAGAACACGGAGGACATGGAGGACCACAGAGGTCTTAGAGGACCTGCGGGACATGAAAGACTTGACCTGAGGGACATGATGGTCAAGGGAGACATGGAGAACCTGAGGGACACGATACACACAAGGGGATGTGGAGAACTTAGAGGACCTGAGGGACRTGGGGAGATGTGGAGGGACATGGAGGTCATGGGATAATGAGTGACATGAGGGGCTGGAGAGGACACGGAGATGGGGGGACACCAGGGGACATGGGTAGAGATGAGATGCGACTCGCTGTCCCCATTCCCCCCTGTGGCCCCCGGTCCCCTCCCCATGACCTTGTCCCTGTCCCCAGGGCCACCTCCTTCCCCTCCCATGGCCACCTCTGTCCCCGTGGCCTTGTCCCTGTCCCCATGGCCATGCTCATGGCCATCACCAACACCCTGTCCCCAAGCCCACTGCCATCCCCAGGATCCCATCCTCAAGCCCATCCCCAACCCTGTGGCCATCTCCTGCTCTCCATGCCCATGGCCGTGGTGCTCCCCATGGCCGCCCCATGGCCGTCCCCATGGCCATGGTGGTCTCCATGCTCATCCCCAACCCTCTCACCATCTCCATGGCCATAGCCATGCTCATGGTCATGGTGGTCTCCATGCCCGTTCCAAAACCTCTGGTCATCTCCATCACTCCTTGCCCATAATCATGGTGGTCTCCATTCCCATCCCCATGGTCATGGTGGTCTCCATACTCATCCCAAACCATCTGGTCATCTCCATCACTCCTTCCCATAGCCCATAGTGGTCTCCATGCCCATCCCCATGGACATGATGGTGTCTATGCCCATCCTCATGGCCATTCCCATGRCCGTTATGAACTCCATGGCCATCTTCATGGCTGCCCCATGGCTACAGTGGTCCCCATCCCCATYACCAATCCTCTGGCCATCTCCAGCACTCCTTACCCACGGCCRTGGTGGTCTCCACACCCATCCCCATGTCCATGGTGTTCTCCACMACAATCCCCATGCCTGCGGTGGTCCCCGTGCCCATCCTCATGCCCACGATAGTCTCCACCCCCATCCTCATGCCCATGGTGCTCTCCAAACCCATCTCCACACCCATGATGGTCTCCACACTCATCCCTATATCCATCCCAATGTCCATGCTGCCCTCCAAACCCATCCCCACACCCATGATGGTCTCCACACCCATCTCCATGTCCATGATGATCTCCACCCCATCTCCATCCCCATCCCCATGTTCATGATGGTCTCCACACCCATCCCCACATCCCTCTCCACACCCATGATGATCTCCAAACGTATCCCCACACCCATAATTGTCTCCACACTCATCCCCACACACATGGTGGTCTCTACACCCATGATGGTCTCCACACCCATCTCCACATCCATGACAGTCTCTAAACGCATCCCCACACCCATGATGGTCTCCACACCATCCCCACACCCATGATGGTCTCTAAACCCATCCCCACACCCATGATGGTCTCCACACCATCCCCACACCCATGATGGTCTCCAAACCCATCCCCATGTCCATGGTGGTCTCCATACCTGTGCCCATATCCATAATGGTCTCCAAACCCATCCCCACACCCATGGTGGTCTCCATACCTGTGCCCATATCC